GCGCAGCAAAATGTGATACGGTAGCCAATAAGCTTACAGCGGCTAAAGTGTTCATTGGTTACCGCATCTCATTTAGCCGCGCGGCAAACGTTTCCGCGTCCAGTGTGCAGGAGCTATAACATAGCTATGTTCTGTAAGAATGACGTCCCATGTACACTCGCGGATAGAAATGCCTTTACACATTCAAGATGGATGCGTTTCGGAACACTGTCGGATCATATAAAATTCGTATACGGTTCGACAGTGTTCTAAAAGGCATCCATCTTGAATGTGTAAAGATATTTCTGTCCGCGAGTGTACACGGAATTGGAACGACGGAACGAATTTCTTACTAGAAATGAGTTCACTAGCATTTCGTAAGGGATACACTCTACATAATAAAAGGAACAGGGAACAGAGAACAGAGAATAAGAATTTCAATCTACCAGAACTCATGTATTGTGGAATACACAGTTTCTGATAAATTAAAATTTTTATTCTCTGTTCTCTGTTCCTTTTATTGTGCGAAGCCCCTAAGAAGTTTTTCTATGGAACTACCGGAATCATGGCCAGAACGGTATAGAAACGATATAGAATCAACGGAATATCATGTCGATTGCAGGCTATGTCGATCTTGCTATTGTTGACGGTTGAGAATTTAATAATTTTGAAGAAGAAAATTAATAATAATTTTTATTTTTACAACTTATCAATACAACATATTCTTGTTTTATATGTATATAGTCCAATTAATTATAATACCAGCAATTCTTAAAATAATTCCGATGTCATTCTGAAGTAATTGAAGAATTTCTCACGATTGGTCATTTGCATTTCAAAGATTAAATTGTCACTTGCGTCTTGGAGACGCCTCATTCTTTGTGTAAACATTGACTGTATTCAGAATTTTCGTTTTCTTATATATTTCTGTTGCAATAAAACGTTATAAGCGAAATAAAATTTTCGCACACTCTTAAATATAGGAATAGCATGCCAATTTGACATATTTCTTGCCTTTCGCAATAATTTTAACATTAGTAATAACACTATTTCTTCATCCATCGTTGTAGATTTACAAAAAAAATTTTTGAATATTGGTTTCAATTTTTAGATTCAACCAACTCAGCTGAACATGCCATTCCGTTTCGTAAAAATTTTTTCTATCCATTCCATATAGTTGAAATGGAATTTTGGAAACAAAATATCTCACTCTTATAATTCAGTATTTTTGAGTATTCAAAGTAATGTTATAGATAAGATAATTGCACAAATTATTGCATATTACTGTTTTAGTCGCATTAAAATAACGAAATATCGATTAAATTAAACAAATTAGCTTGCGACCGAGATAACATTCCGTCTGCTTCCATTCCGTTCCAGCTACATGGGACGGGTAGAGAAACGGAACGGAATTGTAGTGAATTCAATTTCTTAGTAAGAAATCCGTTCTGTTGTCCCAATTCTGTGTGGAACGGCACCCTAAAAGTACAATTTCATGGTGTCGCTTGTCGCAACGATAAATAATCACATGAATTCTCCCTCAATTTGCTCATTTTCTTGTCGCCAGTGACACTGACCTAGTTTCCACCGAGGGTTTAATCAGGATCAGGGCTCTTATTCTTGAAAAGCTATACTTTTCAAGAATAGGACCCCTGTCGTTCAACTGTAACAGAAAAATACTCGATTGTAGTTGGTTGGTTCTTACATTCTGATCTGGATTAAACCCTCGGAGCCACTGTTGAAAAATTGGATTAATCCAACTTTTAGCGACATTGCTCTTATGCAAAGATTTAAATGTGAAACAATATGTTTAAATGTGAAACAGGATGTAAGTATAATAAGGATATTTACTTAAGTTATATTCTAAAACATTTTTTTAGAGGAAAATTTTATTTGAAATATATATATAAGACATACGACATATAGTATTTCAAGTAAAATTTTCCTCGGAGAGGACGTTTCAGAATGTAGCTTTAAAATATGATCACAAAACTTGATAAAAATATACTCATTCGATACATTTCCATTCGAAATGAGAGAATGTAGTAGAATTAAGTAGAAAAATGTGACAGTCTGCTTTATGAAGCGATTATTCAGGCTAGAAAAATGAGGTTTTTTTTATCAGAACAGTTATTAGAGCTGCGTAATGTAAACGTCACTCGAGTGTCTTCGTGTATTATCTTATTATCCAATATTAAACACAAGATAAAATGATATGTGGGAGCATTCGGGTAATATTTCCGAACGTAACTCTCTCTAATATTTAATAATTCGCTTCGTGAAGCATATCATGTTTTTCTGTCAGATTTTTTCATTTTGAGAGAAAACGTGTCGAATAAATATATTTTTATCAAATTTCGTAGTAATGTCCCTATTCTAAATAATTATCACAATAAATAAATAAATAAATATAAATGTCTTATCAATGAAAAATTTGTTCCATGCGATTTTATCTCATTTAACCCTAATTATTTTTATTTTTATTTCCAATTTTATTTATACCGACTTTTCTTTATGATCGCTACAATTATACCAATTTAACTATTGTATATTAAATTATTATTATTATTTATTATTATTATTTAATTATTATATTTTTATTTAATTATTGTATTATTTGTTATTATTTGTGATAATTTCATGAAATTTTCAGATGGCTATTGTACTTGTGACATATGTGAAATGATCGTAGATGAAAAGAGTATTTCGACTCATGGATGTATGGAAGCATATAACCGGTTTTTCGTTGATAATTTTTTAATAATTTTTTTATCCATATTCACGTTAACTTTCAAATAAAGGATCAACCCAAAATCTCTTTTTTTATATTTTCTTTTTAAATATATTCTCTTTTTTTATATTTTCTTTTCAATTTGTACATTCATTAATGCATACCGATGCTATTAAGGTGAAATCACACGATCCGGAATAGGACTGCGGAATACAGAATGCGTCATTGAAGTAATCAATCAGCGCTATTCCGCACTTTTCCATCACGCAAGTTTTGTGTGCTATGTTCACATGATGCGTCAAAGATGTATCCAACATGAATATAATTTAAAAACTACTACTTCACATGAATATAATTTAAAAACTACTACTTCACATGAATATAATTTAAAAACTACTACTTGTTAATAATTTGCTTATTAAAATAAAATATAATTTTTCAAATTGTAAAAACAATTATCACTGTTGTAGTATTTAATGTTTTACAATTAATAATTTCGTGACAATTTTTTGAACTGCTTTAACGCATTTACTATCATTTTTCCGCATCATGTGAACATAGCACACAAAACTGGCGTGATGGAAAAGTGCGAAATAGCGCTGATTGATTACTTCAATGACGAAGTGCGGAAAAGAGCACACTGAAATCGCACGTAATGCATCATTGTTTTTTTGATCTTGATATCTATATTTATGCACTCAGATTTTTTAATTTTGCTTCATTCGTCTCGACATTACGCAATTTCATCATATCAATCAGCATCAAATTATTTTAACCTCTCAAAATACGACGGTTTATTACAAGAATAATAACTCTGCAACATCAAATGCGGAATAGCTGAATGATTGTTTCAATGACGCATTCTCTATTCCACACTGTGTGATTTCATCCTTAGTCTATTTTGTCGTAATTTCGCTTTATTTTTGTTATGCACAATCACATCAACTTGACAGATCCAATCGTAATACCGTTTTTGATGACATTTTGAACTTTACATAATACAATACAATACAATTAATATAATTGCCGTCAAAAATTTATCGCGCGCGCTGCTATCTCATTTATTGTACAATATATTGGGTCATCTAAAAAGTATCCGCGGTACTTTGTCACTAGATATATGACCATCAACACATCTAGTGACAAAAAACCGCGGATACTTTTTAGATGACCCAATATGAGTGACATTCAAGATTAACATACGAAATCACGTGATTCATTTGTTGCTGAATATGAGTGACGAGCCACACATACCTTAAGAGATTAACTGATACCATAGTTTCCATTTGCTAATAACGGAACAGCTGTTAGTTACACCGTTACCAACCTTGTAACTAAAAAGAATATTTTCGACATAGCTATCGGAACTCGGAACTACTGTGATCTTGTCAGTGTCTAGGGTGAAGATATAGCTATACGTTGGTGATCCTGCTATGGACGTAACCAATTTGCTCAACCGGCTTTCAATTTGAACGTTAATGCACGGCCGGTCAGCAAACGTTAGTAATTCTGGTATTGTAAGCAGAACTGTGTTTACGTGTGTTCGCCCACTCGTATGTAGCAACATTATTTATTACGTGTTTGTGAGAATCGATGTTACATCCGTTGACATTCGTATCGATCCAAAATAACAGCGACTATCTGCGCGTAATAGGAAATTTTAGATAATTGAATCAATAGCAATTTGACACGAGGACAGAGTCTTATAATCTGTGACTGTTTATTCATTTCTGAAAATCATGAAGTGACGTGTGTATCACACATAACAGTATTGAGTAACGTAATGTTCATTTTATCCTTATTTAATCTGACTCGTTCTGTTTTCACTTGTTTATACAGATGATGTAATCTCCCACACAGATGCTTCGAAATATCATATATTGTCATTATGTGAAAAGAGCAGACACGGGAGCAAAACAATTAATAGCAGAATAGCAGTTGCTCTGCAATTTTAAATACTTCAAAGATAAGTAAACTACGGACAATTGAATATTTGATTTTCGAGGGTGTTGTTTGTCTTGCAGATGCTGGCTGATAAGCCAGTCTTTGTTTTACATAATGACCGCTAGCGATATACAAGGTTCCCTGAAGGAAGCTCTATATGAAACATTAACTGGAATTTTGTCGCCACATCATGAAACTCGCAAAGCAGCAGAGCAAAGAATTCAAGCTTTGGAGGTGACTGAGGAGTTTGGTATACATCTGACAGAATTTGTCATTGATCCCAACAGTCATTTGCCAATCAGGCAATTAGCTTCTGTTTTGTTGAAACAGTATGTTGAGACGCACTGGTGCTCGTTAGCTGAGAAGTTCCGTCCACCAGAGCTTGATAATGCTGTTAAAGAAAGGATTAAAGAGTTACTTCCTTTAGGACTTCGAGAATCTATTAGTAAGGTAATTTATTCTAAGAATTAATTTAACTAAAAATAATGTTTTATATAGAGTGAATCAATTAAAGTGTTATAGAGTTATTTCTCAGAAACAAAGCTTTTTAAAGAAATATGTTTCATACAAAAATTTAGTTTGAAAGAGGACATAAGATCATGCCATTGGTTTGACCTTGGGGAAATTATTTGAAGATCACGTAAAGCATTATAAATTTTTTAAATGGAACCTCGTATATTTCATTGCATATTCTTAGTTATTCTTGAAAGCTTTCCAAAACATAATAATAAAATATTTTTTCATTAAGTACTTTTTGAGTTATAATACAGGGTAGTCTACAATAGAAGTGTAGCGATCGTGGAGTCTCAAGTTGTAGTGATTGTAGGATCTTAAGTCGTAAAAAATTGATCAATCATAGTCGATTATTATTATATTGGATTGTGATTGGTTAATTTTCTACAACTTAAGATAACCTATGACCATCATGACTTCTATTATAGATCCTGTATAGATAATTTAAGAAATTGATTTAAGAAATTGATTTAAGAAATTGATTTAAGAAATTGATTTAAGAAATTGCTGATTTACATGATCTTTAAACAACTCCTTAAGGACAAACTAATGGCATCATCTTATATTCTTCAAATCATACAACTTTTGTATAAAACATTTTTCTCCAAAATGTTTTGTTTCTGAGATATAAATTTGTAATACATTAAAGCCTATTCTACAATGTACTCTTTGTTCTCTGTTTCTTGCTTTTTATCCCTTGTTTTTTCCCTCCTTATAACCATTTTATCGATAGTTGCATTTCTTATTACATGTCTCCTGCTTCCTTCAAAGTTTGTTAATTTTTATCTTGGGCGACATAAAACAAAAAACCAAATAAGAAGCAAAAAGACAAGATATAAAAAAAATAGCAAAAAGCAGAAAACAGAAAACAAAAAGCACATTGTAGACTTAACTGATTTACTCTGCATAATTGTATTTGTATCTTTACTTAGTGGTAAAATATTTCGATTTACATTTGATTTGCAAGATGTCAGACAGGGCTCTATTTTAGGTACGAACTGCAGTAGCCTATGCAATATCTGGTATAGCACATTGGGATTGGCCTGAGAATTGGCCTGGATTGTTTGATGTACTTGTTAGCTGTTTAAGAGAAGAGAGCGAATATGCTGTTCATGGAGCAATGAGAGTGTTAACGGAATTTAGCCGAGATTTGACGGATGCTCAATTGCCTAATGTAGGACCCGTTATTCTTCAAGAGATGTACAGGATATTTCAAAGTGAAAATGTAATTTTAATAAAAGATCAAAACATCTACATATTTCTTTTATACATCTTATTATATTTCTAACTTTGTATTTCTTGCAGCAGTATTCAATTAGAACACGGGGACGTGCAATTGAGATCTTCATAACGATTACAACTTTGGTTGCTCATACAGGAGCGTATGAGAAGGGATTTATAGAACAGTATCTGCAGCCAATCATTCCTATGTTCTGTGAAAAGTTTGTTGAGTGCCTCAGAGTGCCTAATGGTCAAACCAGTGATTGTGGATTCAAAACAGATATTATTAAAGCTATAAACTGTCTTGTTATGAAATTGCCTAAATATATATCGGAGCTTTTACCTCAAATGCTGCCACCCATATGGGAAACTTTATGTCAAAGTGCAAAGACTTATCAAGAAATAACAGTCAATGCTGATAAAAATATTAATGATAAAGAAATTGATTCTGATGGTATATATTATTCTCTTGTATAATCAATAATCAATATTTTTCCTACAAGTATACATATTTTCCTACAAGTATACATATTTTTCAGGCGAAATAATTAATTCCAACAGTTTGATTATTGCCATTTTCGAGTTTGTTCAAACTATTGTGGATCGTAAGAGGTTTATGAATCTGTTGGATAATATGCTACCAGAAATCATGTATTATCTAATAATATTTATGCAAATAACAGTCGACCAGATCCAGCAATGGACAACCAATCCGAATCAATTTGTTGAGGAGGACGAGTGCACTTTTGATTATAATGTCCGAATCTCGGCTCAAGAATTTTTAACAGTGAGTACACTCAGATATACTGCCACAGACCCAGAAACGGGAAAAATCATGGAAATTAAATTGATCAGAGAAAACTCGGAAAAGTCAAAAATATAAAAGAGTCAGGAATTTTAAACTTGCTCACAATTTTCTTAAATTCTTAGATGCTCTTATTTTTAAAAGTATGACTTTTTAAGTATTTTTAATATCTATATTCAAAACTATATATTTTAAAAATTATATATTTTATAAATAATTTTTTTACTACAAGAGGACGCTTTTGAGATGCTCTTGTTAAAGCTCTAGATATATCAAAATAACACCAAAATAATCCTTTTATCTGAGCCGAATTGCCAATAACTTTCCTATAGGATATTTTGATCGCCATTTTCAACTTGATGGATGTAGCGCTTAATATTATTAGAAATTTTTTTTAATGTGATATGGTTATTAAATCAAAGATGAAAAATCTTTGCGCTACTTTGATATATCTAGAACTTTGGCTCTTGCGTTTCTTTTGCAACGCCGTTTCTTTTTCCATAAGAGCTAGAAGTTTATTAGCTAATATCCCTTGCTGCGTAGCAAACACAAACGTTTCCGCGTATTTTTTGTGTGCAGAAAATATTTTTTTTTCAACTACTGCATTTAGATTGTCAACTTATGATTATTATCCATCAGTAATATTAAATTGCTTTAACCATAAAATTAAGTATTAATGGACTTTCAAAGTTCAATTAATAACTAATACATAAAAGCAAGTGAGTAAACTACAGTAATTAATCAGTGTGTTATAATTATAGAATTAAAATATATTTAAGCAATTTCATTATATGCGTGACGCAATATCCAATTGAATATTTCGCGGATAATTTACATTTTAGTAAATAACAGTAAGTTAATTTTTTTTAAACTAAATTAAGTTAAACTTAATGACTTATAAAATTAATGTAGTTAAATTGAATGAAAAATTAATTTAGTTAAAGTCATATTAAGATTGAATTTACTCAAGTTAAATTTACTCGAGTTAAATAAAAAGTTAATTTTGTAAAACATTATTTTCAGAATGCCTTTTAAAGTTTTCTTTTAAATCAAATAACTTTAAATAACAAAACAATTGCAATAGATTATCAAATAAATTTAATATTTCAAAATAATAGGAATAAATCAGGCAACTGGAAGTCAAGCGCAGTAATTGAAGCGCAATTTTTTTATTACATGTATTCTTAACAATAAGCTAATGTATTAAACATTTCGACTTCATTTTGAGCCATCTTTAGTGAAAATGTAAGAATTGTTTTTCAAGCTCCATTTGGGAAGAAATGAGTGAATCGCTCCCACACACACACACACCCGCCTCCCCACACACACACACACACACACACACACACACACACACACACACACACACACACACACCCCACACACCGATTGTCAAACCAAGTGGTCTAGATCCTGCCAAAGGGAGTCGAGAATTACAATAAAGACATAGGTAGTCATATGGAAACTAGTTATATACGAGGCATATTCGGAAAGAAAGGTTACAACATTTTATGAAAATCGAAAAATGAATATTTATTAATAAAACTTATATGACATATTACACAAGTAAAGCACTATTTTTCTACGTAATCGCTATTCAGTTCCAAGCATTTGGTGAGCCGGTATCAACTTTTGTATTCCTGTGTCACGTTTCTGCCGCCACCTCCCTTGATCATTCACACGGCATTCTTCATCTCTTTGTTAGTAGAAAAGATCGCCATTATAAGCAGGATGGTTCAGAATATTTCAACCAAAACTGTTAAGGAGATCGATTGTTTTGCCTCCAATTTTTTGACTCCAGATCAATTCATTAATGCCGACAGATATTGCGTGACCCTCAAAGTTTCGACGGGTCATCCAAAACAAGAGGAGAGGGCGGCAAAGGACATGTGTCTGTTGCATGACAACGCTCGGTCCCACACCGCGCGCAAAACGATCGATCTCCTCAATAGTTTTGATTAGGATATTCTGAACCATCCTGCCCATAGTCCTAACCTAGCACCAAGTGACTTTTTTTTCATCCTGTTGAAAGAACACATGGGAGGGAAATGTTTTTTTACTGATGAGGTGAAGGATGTGAATGGTCAAGGGAGGTGGCGACAGAAACATGTGATAGAAGAATACAAAAGTTGATATCACGGTTCACCAAATGCTTGGAACTGAATAGCGATTACGTGGAAAAATAGTGCTTTATTTGTGTAACATGTCATATAAGTTTTATTAATAAATCTTCATTTCTCGATTTTTGTAAAATGTAATCTTTCCGAATACGCCTTGTAATTGTATAGCGATTAAAACGATTAGTTGGATAAACAATGTTGACTGTATGAAAGTCACACGACTTTGACTTTCTAGTTAAAATCCGATTAAACTCACATAGGATACTTTATTTTAATAATATCCAATGGACGTCATTTTTGGATATCATGACAATCTTCCTTGGATGTTCTTAATTATCCAACGGATATTCAGGGAATGTACAAGGATCTACATCCTACCGATATCCACAGAGGAACTATATGAGCTATCGCAATCAATAAATGAAAATGAATTGAAATGGAAATTTTTAATCCATCTAAATCCCTACTTTAAATCCATGAAAATGGATTCAATTCATGAAATAGATTGGACTCCCTGAAAATGAATGCATTTATATTTGACACTCAGTATTCGAAAAAAAATAATTCATATTTAAGATTTACAAATTTTATTTCTTTTTTTAAACAGAAATTTTATACGAGACGTTTGTAGCGAATTATTTGAAATTAACTGTTTAACTAGTTTTGAAAGACACTCTTGCCTTAGTGACATTTGAACCTGGAACCTCCGGATTAGTAATCTCCTTACGTACT